GGTTTGCGCGCGCGGGTGTGCGTGTGTGTGTGTGTGTGGGTGGGTGTGTGGGTGTGTGGGTGTGTGGGTGTGTGGGTGTGTGGGTGTGTGGGTGTGTGGGTGTGTGTGTGTGTGTGGGTGTGTGGGTGTGTGGGTGTGTGGGTGTGTGGGTGTGTGGGTGTGTGGGTGTGTGGGTGTGTGGGTGTGTGGGTGTGTGTGTGCGTGTGTGTGCGTGCTTTTGAGGTTTAGGGCGCCGATGGCTGCATGTCTGCTCGGTTTCATCAAGTTCCAGATCCTAAACTGAAGCCACAGGGTGAACCTGCCGATGCTCATGAAGGACCGTGCAACCACTTTTGGGGTTCGGGTGTAGACTAGAACCTAGAGTAGGCCCTTATTTTTGTTTTTAGGGTTCAGGCTCCCTTCTAAGCCCCTTTAAACCAAAAAGGGCCATGAACCATGAGTATTTAGCTTTCCACGTGTTTGATCTACATGGGTTTCTTATTGTGGGATCCATACCCAAATTTCATTATCCAAGAAACGTGCTACATTTGAGGGTTGAGGTATCCTAGATGTTCAGTTGGCGTGCTTGCAGCGTTCTGCAATATTCCCAGCTTTCCGGGTCAATGAACTTGACCTGAGTGATGTATCCTATCAACCCTACTACAAACCTTAGAGACCCTGTAAACTCCAGAGCAAAGACCCAGACATGTTGGAGTCTTCGGGGTACATGTACAGGGCAGCTTCAACTAATTTGGGTGAGGGCAGGGGTTCCCTCCACAAGCACCCCCGCATCTTGGGGTTCCAGGGTTTCAGGGTTTAGGGTTTGGGGTTTAGGGTTTAGGGTTCAGGCTTCAAGATCGACATGTACCCTGAAAGGGTCTAAGGCTCAACTAGCAGATATGGGGTTCATAGCATAAGCCCCTTTAGGGTCAGGTGGCCTTTTTGGGGTTCCCATTCGTGTGTCGCCGGAGCCGCCAACCCTGAACCAAGTGGGAAAGCCGGGGATAATATAGGGTAGTTGGGGGGTGCAGGTAAACCCTAACCCTAAGGGTCCATGTACTCATAAAGTATATACGTTGGCTTTAAAGTACTCCCTATGTAGGTACATTGGGCCCAACGTATATACTAGTTGGGTACATGGACCCTTAGATTCATCACAAACATTCCGGGTCCTGGAGCTCGAGGTTCCGGGTCTTTAGTGTAGGGTTCAGTGTGTGGTTGGAATTTAAGGGTCATTTTTGTGGGTAACTTGAAAAGGGTTTCCGTTAAAGGGTTTCGAGAGGTATCCTGTAAGGCTGACGGGGTTTAGGCCTTGCTTGGCCCTGAACTGCTTACCCCACATTCAACACCCCTCCCTTGTGTAGGGAATAGATAGGGCAAAATAGGGTCCGCAAGGGTGTTTACTATTAGTCTGAGTGCGAAGTCTACCTTCCTACATCATGTACTTTCTCCTGTTCTCTTGTTATGGTGTGTGGGCTTTAAACGTTGTAGCATAATACGGAGAAAAAAGCTTTCGACAGCACAAGGACAGGAAGGCCATGGCGTGTTACTTTAGGAGACCTGTGTGTTGGCCCCCAACTGCACACTCCGACTGGGGCTTCTGAAGAGTTCCTGTCATGAGCTTCCTAGACCGTAAAACCTACACCCTAATGACCCTAAATTGAGTAACCAATGTTGAAAACATGTGGCCTTGGAAACTAGGTACTATTCCCATTGTTTTGGGCAAACCCTAGCCCTAATCGTACTAACTGGCATTCTTAGTGACTTCTACGCGGACATCATACTCAGGAACCCTAAACACGCAGGTTTTCTAGACCAGGTACCCCTAGTAGAAGCATGGATGAATATATACATTATTTCTTCGGGTCCCACACTACAGCCATTTCCTGAGGCTTCCATAATCTCACTAAGAGAGTACATGAACCAGCATCGAGATAAACCGAGACAAGATACACAACAATTTCAAGCATCTTCGGCGACTGGAAGGATCTGGAAGCTACACCCCAAATCGCCCTAAAATCCAAACTACACAGACCCTAAGCCCTTAACCCCAAAGCGGTCAGGCAGCAGCGGAATGAGGCCCAGTCAGATCTCTGGTTCCCCCAGAACTTCTCACAGCAGTGCGAGCACCTGCTCAACAAACAAGCATTCTAATGATGACGGTCCCTGGTACATGAAAGCCTCCCATGCCTGCCATTGCCGTGAGGATGATCCGCCGACGGCGGATCCCAGCCCGAAGCACTCTATCAGCAGCTTTGCTTCCTTAGAAGCTGAATATGTGCACGTTGCAACTTGGGGGACGATGTTATCTCTTGTCGAACTGAAAGTGTGCACGTTTTGGGCTTATGAACCTAGCAGCGTTGCTGCAGAAGCCCAGCGATAGGGTTTAGGATTTGGGAGTTCCGGCTCGGTTCAACTCAGGGATGTTCAGAGATTTCAGGGACTGGGGGTCAGGGGTTTACAGTTTGTAGGGCTGAACCTCAATATAAATACTGGTCCCAAGCGCGAAGCCCTTACCGAGTCTCTTGCATGTGCACAGAGTGTTTGTTTTTGAAGTCGGCCGGCTTCGGGCTATGTGGCCATGGTCTAGAAAGGTTGTGGAATGATGGCGGTCGGGGGACTTAGTAAGTAGTTATTTTATAGACTTACAAGCAGCATAACCACCACTAGGATCCCTGTTAGGATACTTATATATAGAGTCTACTCACTACCTACTTACTAAGTCCCCCGACCCTCCAAGTTGTGGTCGGGTGGTGTTGTGTTTCAACAAGTCTTTTTACCAGTTCCCGAAACTCAAGCCTGCAGCCCCGCATCCCACAACACCCTTAACTTCTCTCCATCGGAACAAAGCCCCATTACATCATTACATCCTAAGCCCTATAAACTATGAACCCAAAAGACTAAGCCTTAAACCCTAAACCTTGAACTCCCTGAACCCCTGAACTCAAAACCCTAAGCTGTCAAAAGCAAATTCCTGACCCGCTGAGGTTCAATCCAAGCGCTCGAAACCTGAACCTCGGTTCAGTAAGTTGTTCCAAATAACAGAGGATCCAAAAATACTACAAGGCTTAGGGGAAAAGGGGAAGTCAGATAGCTGATCGAAATCCCCTTGATATTACCGTGGAAATCGGCCCCAAAAGGCAATCCTTTTTGTGCTTTTAGGGACCTGGTTGCAAACGATTAGTATAATATGCATATATATATATATATATATATATATATACACACATGCATACATATGTGCGTGCATACATACATGTACATGATATCATTACACACCCAAAACCCGACAAACACTATCCTAAACCCTAAACCCCTAAACCCCTAAACCCTAAACCCCTAAACCCTAAACCCCATAAACCTGTAAACCCTAAACCCTAAACCCTACCTTTTTGCAGGACATATATAAAGAAATCATATTGGGGAACCCTAACAAGGTAGGGTTCCTTAGGGTCCAGGTAGACCTTCTTCGAAATCCGAGGCCTGAGCCAAAAAAGGAGGCAGCTTTCCTTTGTCGATGCCCCTTGGATCTGGAAAAAGGGTACATAGAGGATCATGGGACTTAGTAACTGGGGTTATAACTAAGGTAACCATGCGTACAATTACCTATAACCACAATTGAGGTACTTATAACCTGACTTACTAAGTCCTATGATCTGGAAGAGGGTACCCACTTGGGGGGGAGGTTTGGCGTTTAAGGGCTAGGGGTTTAGAGTTTAGGGGTTTAGGGTGTAGAGTTTTGGGGTTTAGAGTTTGGGGGTTTAGGGTTTTGGGAATGGGGTTTAGGGGTTTCGGGGTTCAGGGTTATGGGCTGGTCTTCTGCCGAGGGTGTGTGACGACTTCGAACAGGGATGCGCGAGGCGTTCTCGCCGTATCACGGTCTTGGGTTCAAGCTGGAACGGACACTCCCTGGCTTGCCTGTTTTCGCTCTTCAAGCATGGGGTTTGGGGTTTTAGGGTGCACCTGTGTTTCCAGCAGTGCTTGAACATGCATTCCACTATGGGGTTTCTGTGGCATTATCCATGGAGCCCTAAACCCCAGAAGCCCTAAACCCCAGAAGCCCTAAACTCTAAAACCCTAGACCCTGATGCCCAACTTCAGCTTCAAGGGTGGAGCCCTTAGTCGACATTGATTCAAAACTACTTATCGCTGCGGCTCTTGTCTACCAACTCCTGCACGTTGTGTAGCTAGCGAACCCCTAAGCCCTAAACCCTAACATGATACTAGGTATCGATTTGATTTCGTTTAATTTGCCTAAGTCTAATATAGATCTGCAATTTTGTTTAGCTTTGGAGATTGTTGAAATCGTCACCTGGTGCTGATTGCTAGCCACCAAGAGTCAAAGCCCAAGAATCCCGTGGCTTCTGGTTGATGTGGCACGCTGGAGTCGGCTAAACCCTAAACCCTAAACCCTAAACCCTAAGCAACACAAGCCTGAGTCAAGGCGTTCCTGAAAGGGATCTAAAAAGGGGTTCTGGAGTACCATACTCTGATACTTTTAGGGTTTAGGGTTTAGGGAATTTAGGGTTTAGGGAAACCCTAAACCCTAAAAGAACGTTATGAAACAAACATTTGTATACTTTTCTCCCTCTGGTTATTCTAAAGCCCAGTAACGGACGCCACACCACAAAGAAAGACGACTCCCAAGGCTCTCTTTTATAATCAGGTATGTACACTAGCCCAAAGGGTCCTATGTACTGTTATGGGGATACTTCCCTAAGTCGTAATAGTAATTTCGAATGTGGAAACCCTACATTCTGCTATATCGGTACATAGGACCCTTTGGGTAGGTATCGGTTTGGGATAGTTGGTAATGTCCCTTATTGCTTACTCTGCAGCCCCGCAATTACAAATGCTTTTGGGGACTGTTGACATCGACACATAGTAAAGGCCTAAGTGTATGCTATGCGGGCCATCATCCAGCATCTTGGCGACCATGCACCAAAGGTCGTGTACAAGGACGTCTGTCTGCACGACAGCTCAGGGGCACCTGATGCAGATGTTTACGCGTACGGAGCACCATGTCAATCTTTCAGCATTGCCGGCAAACGGCAGGGCTTGCGCGACAAGCGGGCTTGCGCGACAAGCGGGGCGCCTTGTTGCTGCAGTGCACCAAGTACGTGGTCAGTAGCAGGAAACCTGTGTCTATCATAGGGAATGTAACAGGCTTGGCGTTGGAGCCGCACCAGTTCATCCTGAAGTCATTGAAAGGCACCCTCCAGACGGCGAATTACAAACTCACATCGAGCTGGTCGGTACATGGAGCTCTCGGGACTCAAAAGAGCAAGACAACAGCTACACAGCCTCATGCAAGCCGTTTTTGTTGTGCATGAGCCCTGGGACTACTCCAAGATCTTCCAACAGGCCCTACCTGTAAAAGTAAAAGGTATGTTCTACTAAACCCGAACCGTGGTGCTCAAAGTAAGCTGAGAGCTTGAGGAAAGCATTTTCCCATTATTCATGCAGGATGCGCAACCTTATCAAACACTTGTCAAGCGCTACTCTCTATATTAAGACCACATGTGTGAAGGGCTTTGGATTCATATTATGTCTTAAAGCTAGACAGTAGTCTACTTGTGAAGGGTTCCCCGGGGATCAACTCCTTACTGTACGATTTCTATATAGTGAACCCTGGAAAGTTGGAACATAGATCGAGGATGATTCATGCTGGGATTCCCTATGCTGTTCTTTAAGGGCATGAGGCTAATGATGTTCCAACTTTTCATCTTCTACTCTAAGTAAGTCATGACAATGACCTAAGCCCTCCTCTATACCTTGGGATCCGAAAAGCTACCGTTTTAAGGGTTCTATAAGGGTTCCCTTTAAGGGCTCCTTTGAGGGTTAAGGGTTTAGGGTCAAGGATCTATAGGGATCCGAAAACCTACCGTTCTAAGGGTTCTACCCTCTAATTTAGGGGTCATAGCTTACTATTTTGTAGGGTTTGGGGCCGCAGGTAGTAAACCGCATAAAGTTGGAAACCGGATTAAGGCCGAATAATGCTGGGATTCCCTATACATCACTCTTAAGGATTGAGGCTATTGGTTTTCCAACTTTTAGGCTTCTACTGTACCTTATTAATAACCCCAATTACTAAGTCCCATGATCCTTTCAGTAGACCCTAAACCCTAGACCCTTAAAGGGAACTCCATTATAGAACCCTGTAGAACTCTTGAAAGGAGCCCCTAAACCCTAAACCCCCAAACCCTAAACCCTAAACCCTACAACCATAAACCCTAAACTATAAGCACCCCCAAGGCCTCCATTGAATGCATCGGGGAAGCCATCGAGGATGCCTCCCGGCAGAAGGGTTTGAAAATCTTGGGGTCTAGGGTTTCGGGGTGCATTAAAGGTTCCTGTAAAGGGTTTTCTAGACAAGATGTATAGGGTTTTGAGCTTAGGGTGCCAAACAGGGGCTATGTGCCGCATTCAGGTTTTGGGTTTTGGGTTCGGGTGGTGTTTAGGAGGTCACAATTAGGGAGAGTCTACATGGCATAGCATTGAACTTGGTGTTTAGGCTTTATATATATATATATATACACATATGTATGGAGATGTGTAGAAATAATTACATATATACACACACACATATATGGAGTTTGTGGTTTTCTGGTTTTCGTTTTCAGACCTAGAGCAACCAACCAATGTACAATTCACAGAAGTATTTGACGGGGCTTGCGCTTGGTGTGTGTGTGTGGGGGGGGGGGGAGTACGGCTTGGGTGGTGAACGCGAGCAATTTCGCGAGAGTGAAACGTTGTGGCTTGGCAGCGTACTGGACGGCCCGTGTCACTGGAAGCAGGCCACCCTAAGCCACTATGTATGATCTTATCACCTGCCTTTCGGTGGGTTAGAAAATAAAAGCCCTGGTATAGAATACTGTAGAAACCTGCAACATAAAGATTATAGTTGGTACACCCTGCTCAAGCCCCGGGAGTTTCCAAAACTAGGGGATCCGTATATGGTGCCCTAAATAGTAGGATCCTTATTATAAGGACCCCAAAATAAGGTCCCTAAACCCGACCCTAATTGGGGTTATGGTACTTATAAGTCCCTAGAATAGCCAGTTACTAAGTCCCCCGACCCTCCAAGTATGATTCATAGCTGTACTTAGATCAAAGGGGAAAAGGAGGGACCCTTAAAGGGGACCCCTACCTGTAGGGTTTAGGGGTATAGGGGTTAGGGGTTTTAGGGTTTAGGGGTTTAGGGTTTAGGGCTTAGGCCCTTAATGGGGACCCCTACCCTATAATAGGCTATATAATGGGTATATCATGGCTATATTAAGGGTCTATAATCGGGGTCCTTGTTAGGATTAGAGGTTCATGGGACTTAGTAGCTAGGGTGGGTTCCTGTCAAGGGCACTACAGGGTTCTATACTAAGCTTCCCTTGAAGGAGTCTAAGGTTTACGGTCTACTGAAAGGATCATGGGACTTAGTAGCTGGGGTTATACTTACTACACTTATATGTACTCACAATCCCAATTAGGGTACTTACAACTGTGCTTACTAAGTCCCATGAACCTCCAAGTAAGGGTACAATGCAGGGGTCCGTGGACTGGTGCAGTAAGTACTTTGACGTCCTAAACTACTTCTTTAGGAACCCCCTGCATGCCTAGGTACATAGACCCTAGAATTCTAGGACCTAGAGTAGGCCCTTATTCCCTTTTCGTAGGGTTCAGGTTCCCTTATATGCCCCTTTAAACCAAAAAGGGCAACCTTTTTATTCGTAGGTTGCTCTTGGGTCTAGAATTGCTTGCCCGAGGTTGCACGGTTCCAGGTGTTATATGATCAGTCCATGAGCGTATATCGTAGATACTAGTTGGAGGGGCAGGGGACTTAGTAAGTCGTTTATAAGTAGGGTTATAATTGGGGTAACTCCATTTAGGGTACTTATAACTCTACTTATAGCCTACTTAGTAAGTCCCCTGCCCCTCCAAGTAGGGGTTGCTAGTCAAGCACTTTAAGATCAAAGTATGCACTATTTTAGTACATGAACCCTGGGCATTGCCCAAAGGTTGTACCCAAATACTATGTATTTTGGCCTTAAAGTAGTCCCTATATATAGGTACTTTTGGGCGAAAGTATATGCTGTTTGGTCACATGGACCTTGAGCGTTACAAGGCTCCAGGAGTTTAAGCGTTTCGGATTGCAGATATTGGAGCCTCACCCTCAGGAGTTGAGGGTGTCAGGTGCAGGGCTTGTGCCGTAACAGTAAGTACAAACAAAACAGATATCCGAGACTGTGGTACGGTTGATGATGTAAATCCTGCATGACCCAGAATAAGGAATCTACCGTAATTCCCATAGTTTAGGGTTCTTAAGGTAATGCAGGATTTATATCATCACCCTAAACCCTACACCCTAAAACCCTATAGATCCCTTACAGGAGACCCTTATAGACCCCTTTAAAGGAACCCCAGGATTTCTATCATCAACCGTAGTACTAAACGTAGGCCCGTCTTCGACTCGCAGGGCTCAACGCCTCGCAGGGTTCAGCATTCTTAAACAAGGTCCTATAAGGGTTACCAGGGTTTAGGGTTTAGGATTTAGGGTTTAGGGTTTAGGGTCTATAAGGGCTACTATACAGAAAGGGTTTAACATAGGGGCCTTAATAATTAGAATAGGCTTATGGGGCCCATAACACCATAGCTCTTCACTGCTTGGAAGAGTTTCGTCGCCCATGAACCGTAAAACCCTAAACCTCCAGAACCCTAAAGCTCTGGACCGCAACCCCCCTAAGCCCTCAACTGTGCTTTAGTACAGATTTCCATATCCTGAAAGATTCCGCGCTAGGGTTTAGGGTTTAGGGTTTAGGGTTTAGGGTTTAGGTAGGTTCCCCAGTAGCACCCTTGGGGTTGAGGTTTAGGGTTTAGGGTTTCTCTCTGTTGAATTTGGTTCCCGTAAACCCGAAACAAGCCGTGCGCCAACCCCAAACCCTAAGGCTTAATCGTAGTTTTTTTTGGGGGGGGAGTCATTTTTAGAATTCTATAAGGTAAGCCCAAAAATGAACTACTATGGAGCCTATGGGTAAACCCTAAGCCCTGTAAACCCTAAACCCTAAACCCTAAACCCGAAACCCCAAATTTGAAGCCCAGGAGCATCGAGCTGTTGACTGGCTGCAAGACTTCTGGACCGGGTGTCGGGTTCTACTGAAATTCCTCTAGAAGGATTTAGTAGGTTTCCTTGAAGATTCCTCTAAAAGGATCTAGTAGGGTTCCTGGATTCCTTTACAGGGATCTACAGGGTTTAGGGCTTTGGGTTTCGGGTTTAGGGCTGTCGGGCTTCAAGGGTTTATGGCCTTAGGGATTCGGGATTTGATGGGGTTTTAGTGTTTTAAGCTTCGGTTCTCACCCCGTTCATGGTACGTCTTGGGGTTCAAGGGTTAGCCGTTTCTGTATGGGCTGCTTCGAAAGTTGGGGCATCGCTTCTGCATTCTAGGACCATGGTGGTGTTTGTGTAGCGATAGTGGTTGTAGCAAGCAGGGCATGCCGCCTTGCAACCAATCTTATAGTCATGTTGGGGTAGCAGTAGCTAGAACGACAGCGTTTGCGTGGGTGAGGGGGATTATCACATGACGCTGGAGCGAAACACATGATACTACTAGATCCTTCTGGCCCGATATAGGCGACAGGTAAGATGAGTAGTCACATTTCTTGCACACGTTCACACAGCTGCCATGTTCGTTTGTTCTTCTGTCTTTTGACCTGTCGGTCGAATGCATAGATCGGTGGATGGATCGATAGAACTGTAGATCGATCGAGCGAGAGAGAGGGAGGGAGAGAGAGAGAGAGAGAGAGAGAGAGAGAGAGAGAGAGAGAGAGAACAAAATACCGATTGATAGATCGGCAGATAGATAGAGCGACTGGTTGACGACTGGTTCATAGATAGATAAATGAGCAGGTAGGTAGGTAGACCAAATAGGACGGACGGACGGATGGATGGATGGATGGATGGATGGATAAATGGTCAGAAGGACAGACAGATACATCCTTAGATAGACGCATGGATAGACACATCGATCGACACATAGGTAGACAGACAGATAGGTAGATCGGTCGTTAGGGCTTTGGGCCACAGGCTGTTTGCCACACAGAGCGCCATGCTATATCTTCTTCAGATGCTGCTGTTTTGTGGTGTATCAAGACCTCACCGTGGTCGGTGAATCCAAAAACCAGTTTCCAAGAGACTCCAGCATCCCTTAATTAAGGAATACACCTTAAATTATAATAAGATCCCTAATCTGGTTTAAAGGTATATTAATGAATTGAGGGATATTGGAGTCTCTAGGAATAACACCCCTAATCCCTAAACCCTTTATTCCGAAACCCGAAGTCGAAGGTTACAAGTCTGGGCCCTTTTTATGGGTCCCAAGCCCGGTTGAGGGGGTACAAATAGGGTTTATATTCGGTGTATACTTGGAGGGTCTGGGGACTTAGTAAGTAGGTAATAAGTAGACTTATAAGTACCCTAACAGGGATCCTCATTGGGGTTATGATACTTATCAGTTTAGAAAATAACTACTTACTAAGTCCCCCGACCCTCCAAGTAAGGGTCCCAGGCTAAAGGGCCCATGCTAGAGGCCCATGGTTTCACCCTAAGACTAAAACACCGAAGCCTAAACCCTAAACCCCAAACCCTAAGCCCCAAAGCCTAAACCCTAAGCCCCAAACCCTAAATCCTAAATCCTGAACCCTAAACCGTGATCAGGAGCACCATTCTCCTGGGCACCCCCACGGCTGTGTGCAAGACCTTGGCACTCAGGCAGGGAAATTTTCTGAGCCCGAACCCAAACGGGATCCTTAAGGATTACGAGTTTCATTTAAGGGATCCTATAAGGGATCTATAGGGGTTAGGTTTTGGGGGACCCCAATATCTCTTAAATTATTATAGTAGGATGCCGTGATTTAAGGTATATTACTGAATTAAGGGGTATTGGAGGCTCTGGGAAATCCAGAAGCACTGACATCAGAAAGCGAGGGAGACGTGTTCGGGGCTTGGGGTTCGGACTGTAACTTACCAACCCCTTCCTGAGCTGTCACAACCTACTTCCCTTGGTAGGGTTTCATTATACAACCTAGCATAGAAATTGCAAGGATCCACATAGAAGCAGGTTTGGGTGGGATAAAGTAGACCCTGAGCAAAGGACAGGCCAGCCTTCGCGACGCCGTAGTAGACCCTACTTGGAGGGTCGGGGGACTTAAGTAGGTAGTAAGTAGACTTGCAATTACCCTAACCCAGACCCCCGGGAGGATCTAGAAAGTAGATCCCTTAATTTGGGGCCCTATACCACTAAGGGTACTTTATAGGAACCCCCATAAAGGGATCTACTTTTTGGATCCTCCCCGGGGTCTGGGAACAGGGAGCTTAGTTGGGGTTCTGATACTTATGAGTCTATAAAAAAAACTACCTACGAAGTCCCCGACCCTCCAAGTCAACCCGAATCCTCATCGAAACCACCGGACCCTCAAGGTTTAGGCGTACCTTTTTGGGGGTCCTTATAATAAGGATCATAAGGATCCTACTATTTAGGGAGCTATATTAGGGGCCCCTATTTTTCGGAAACTCCCCTTTTAGTTACCGTCATAGTGATCTATAGTGCATATTTTGGTTCCTTTATTATGGTAGCCCACAGGCGCCTAAGCAGAACCTCTTGAAACTGAAGCCTTGCAGAGAGATATTGTGGTTTAAACGGGTTTGGGTTTAGGGTTTTGGGGTTATATATATATATATATATATATCCTTTACAAGGTTTAGGGTTGAGGGGATATCATCTTTAAAAGGTTCAAGGTTCAGGGGATAGGTGGTGTCTAACATAAGATCTGACAATCGTCCTGTGTTTATGATATATTGATGATAGTATGGGTTCTTCATCACCCTCGCCATCACCATATCGTTCTTCACCATGTTTTGCCAAGAGACACGATGCTGTACACACCAAGTGTTTTGGGCTTGCTCGCACAACGCATCACCACTTGTGACAATGCATCTTATGCCAGACATGTCAAACACCCTTCTGCGGTATGCCGTATAGTGGCGGTGCTGCCTTGTAATAAGGAAAGATTTTTGAAGTATATTCAGGATCCTTCCATATGGGGGTTTCCGAAAATAGGGGGACCCTAATATACATAGTACCCTAAATAGTAGGATCCTTATTATAAGGACCACAAAATAAGCTTCCCCGAATTTTCGGAAACACCCATATTTGACGGGCATCTTTGCGGGTAGGAACTGTTTCGCAGGTCTCTTGGAAACTGGGTGACCGTGTTCAACCGCTGGCAAGAAATCGGCAAGTGGGTTCCGGGTCAGGCACGGGGAGGGCAGGGCGGCGGGGGAGTAGTGATTTGGGGATATCGAGGTTTAGGGTTGAGGGGTGAAGGGCTTTGGAGTTTAGGATTTAGGGGTTTGGAATCTCCAGAAGAGGGTGCCAATCTTGCTGTTAGGACTTTACCAGAGAATGATTTGGTGTGACAGGGGTCCAATAAAGTCGTCAGTTTACGAAGGTTTTTGTAGTTGTTGATGGTGAAATACAGCCGACCTCTACGAGGTTTGGCCTGTTATTACATGTTAGCAAAGAAACCAGGATCAGAATTATCCCTAGAACCTGTCAGCCTCAATCTGCTTTGTCCCATGGCTGGGCATGTCTGTTTTGGGCTTGACGGTGCAAGCCCTACCTGTGGGCTCATACCCTACCCCTATTTTAGGTTATCTGTTTTTCTATGTAACAGGCCCTAACCAAAGAATTAGCTGTCCTGAAAAAGAGGTAGGGTATGAGTTAGAAGCTGCCCCTACCCTGTAATAGTGACTATAAGGATTCTATTAGGGCCCTATTATATTCCTATTATACCACTATTACAGGGTGGGGGCAGCTTCTAAGGTAGACTTTGAGTTCCTGGCTTGCTGAGGAGAGAGAGCCTGGTCCTTGGGCTATTGCACGCAGAGCCCTGGTACCAGAGACTCCAAAACCGTTGAATTGAAGAAGAAAGCCTTGAACCATAAGAACGATCTCTCTATGATTTCTACTCCTTTGAATGAAGGAAGTCATCATGAAAACGCGATAACGCTCGCTCTCTCTCTCTCTCTCTCTCTCTCTCTCTCTCTCTCTCTCTCTCTCTCTCTCTCTCTCTCTCTCTCTCTCTCTCTCTCTCTCTCTCTCTCTCTCTCTCTCTCTCTCTCTCTCTCTCTCTCTCTCTCTCTCTCTCCATTTTTAAGTTTTAAGGTATATACTTCGTAACTAAGGGGTCTTGAAGTCTCTGGGAGCTTCAGCCCTGATGAGACCCATCGGGCCGAAATACTTAATTGAAGGTTTAGGGTTTAGTGGTTTAGGGTTTAACTTCGCTCATAATTTCAAGCGCTAAATACTTAAGGGGTAAACCTGAAATCATACTGTCAATCGCTAAATGCTAAAGGGTTAAGCCTCAGATGATACCTGCAAGCGATCTAGTTCGGAGCCTCCCCCTCGACGAAAGGCTTGAATTGAATTTCTCATCGAGGGTGTAACCTAGAAAAGCACAAATAACTGCCCATTTCCTTAATATAAGTATAGTACAAGGGAACAGAAAACCTTGTGGAAATTATTCAGGCCCCTATACATTATATTTAGGGTTTAGGGTTTTATATTGCTCAAACAGGATGTGTCCCTGGAAGATACATCTTCTACCCTCAGGGTTTAGGGTATAGTGTTTAGGGGTCAGATGAAGATAGTCTCGGGTTTACTTCACGGTTCATGCTTAGTAACTAGGTTTGTAAAAAAAAGGTAAGCATACTTGAGTTACTTGCTAAGGAAATCATGGCAATACTTACTTAGCCCATGATCCTCCAAGCAGGGTTGAGGAGTGCAGATAAATGTTGTGTTCTCTCTATTTTAAAGATTGCCTTCATCAAAAAACAGAAGTTTTGACATCACAAATCGTAAAGATGAAAGTTTGTGTAAGTGCCCACGGTGGGGGAGGGCTCCAGTTGCAAATGCTTGACCCTAAACCCTTAACCCTAGCCCTGAATTGCCGAACACTGACTCCGGTCTCGGAGCGGCTATTATTTGGGTTCAATATAGGGGCCTGAGTAATTAGGGTAGAGCTTTAGGGCCATATGTGCGACACTTATGTGAAGGAACCCCCCCAAAAATAGTATGGGTAGTCATTTAGGCCCCTAGAGTAGGGGTTTAAGGGTTTAGGGCCTAGTTTAGCATAAACGTCAGGCAGATATGGGGCTGTCAGGATTTTAGGGTTTAGGGTTCAGGGTTCAAGGTCTGGGGGGAAGAGTGCCTGAGCGGTCATGCTTCTACGGCCAAGCTAACTACGGTTGATGATATAAATCCTGCATTGCCTTACGGACCCTCAACTACGGGAATTATGGTATATTCCTTCTTATGCTTGGATCCCAAGTGGAGAGCTTGAAAGCTTTTTTTCTAGATGCCCCCTGGTGGCTCAAGTTCCAACATGTTTGCATGAGAAGCAGCTCCCCAAGAAAGTCATGTAAGAACAAAAACTAAAGCCCAAGTAAGACAAGCCCCCCCTCAAAGCCCCCGAGCTGCCCGATGGTTTCGGAAGGTGCGCCCTCGCAAGTTTGCTAAAGGGGTAGGTATTGGGTAAGTTAGGGTATTTAATTCTGCCAGGTCAGACATGGTCCGTGATCTTTGTCGTCATTCCCATCCAGGCATCGTCAGGAGCTGAGACAGTAAGACACCCTAACCCTAAGCCCTAAAACCCTAAACCCCTAAACCCCTAAACCCTAAACCCCTCGTTTGCGTCGTTTTGCAGCTCGGTGAGCCATGGCCCCAGCTTGCTGGGTGAGCCATGGCCCGAGCCTGCCGAGTGAGCCATTGGCCCCAGCCTTGCTGGGCGTGCCATTGGCCTCGGTTCCTGGTGTGCCATTGGCCCCAGCTTAGCTGGGTGAGCCATTGGCCCAGGATCTTTGATTGACTTGGGTGTGCCATTGGCCCCAGCAGTGCTGGGCGAGCCATTGGCCCCGCCGGGTGGGCCATTGGCCCCAGCAGTGCTGGGTGAGCCATTGGCCCCGGTCCGCCGCGTGAGCCATTGGCCCCAGCAGTGCTGGGTGAGCCATTGGCCCGGTGCGCCGGGTGCGCCATTGGCCCCAGTTCTGCTGGGTGAGCCGATGGCCCCGTGCTGCCGTGCCGTTGGCCCCAGCTTTGCTGGGCGAGCCATTGGCGCTGGTTGGGTGTGCCATTGGCCCCAGCTTTGCTGGGTGAGCCATTGGCCCCGCTGTTGGGTGTGCCATCGGCCCCAGCTTTGCTGGGTGTGCCGATGGCCCCAACCAGTGCTCGGGTGTGCCACTGGCCCCAGCTTTGCTGGGTGAGCCATTGGCCCCGGTGTTGGGTGTGCCATCGGCCCCAGCTTTGCTGGGTGAGCCGATGGCCCCAACCACTGCTCGGGTGTGCCACTGGCCCCAGCTTTACTGGGTGAGCCCTTGGCCCCGTGCGTCAGCCATTGGCCCCAACTTTTCTGGGTGAGCCATTGGCCCCGGTCCGCCGGGTGAGCCATTGGCCCCAGCAGTGCTGGGTGAGCCCTTGGCCCCGGGTTGCTGGGTGTAGCCACTGGCCCCATCGGGTGTGCCATTGGCCCCAGCTGTTCTGGGCACTGTCGGGTGAGCCATTGGCCCAGCTTTGCTGGTGAGCCATTGGCCCCGCCTTAACCCTAAGCCCAACCCCAAACCCTAACCCCTAGACCTTGAACCACTAAAACCCTAAGTGGTAGTCAGACTCATTCTCGCATAATTTCAATTTAAATTCGCGAAGGTCAGACAACATCGCTGGTCTCCTCGACGATGTGATGGCGCCGTGGAGGTGGAGGCTGGCGTTTGCACGCACCTTTCGGCCTGTGCTGTTTGATTGACTTGCTTGCAAGCTCCTTTGACCGTCTTGACTGCAGGCAGTTCGGACCATCAGCTAGTCAGTCTCAGTGTAAGACATCGGCGATGATTAGATTTCAGATTATGATTCTGATCTTGATATTCAGGAGTTTCAATCGGTATTTCATGACTCGTCTGACTGCGTGTGGGTTTGAGTGAGTCCTCTAGCTGTGGTCAGACAGATTTTTGGCCATGGTGCGCCAGCGCAAGCCCGAGCTCAAAGGGATGCCGCACTTCAACACCAAGCGTCAGACTACGAGGAATCAGCCACTCCCCCCGGTGCCTGAGGAGGAGGGCGCTCGTAAGACGACAGAAGAGCCGACGGGCGCTGAGCCGAAGGACGGCATTGGTCAGACGCCGGTGACGAAGATGACGACAAGGTCACCGTCGAGGTCAAGGAGCCCCAGTCAGACGAATTACACTCCGACTGAGCCGGCTATGACGCCAACCTCGCCGGTGTCGTCACCGTTCGAGGAAAACCCCAGAGAGCGTCTGACAGTGATCGAGCCACGTCTGACGTTCAAGGCCGCGGCAAAGTCAGAGAGCGTGGCATCGGGATCGAAGGCAGCGGCGTCAGATCCAAAGGGCAGGGGCATTCATGCGGACCTGGTGTCAGACTCACCAGGACCAACGCCAACCCCGCCAAAGGCCAAGCCGATGACGTCAGACCACAAGGTCCAGGCCCCGGGTCCGAACAAGAAGCAGAACAGACGGTGGAAGGTCAAGACGACGTCAGAGATCGGGGCGGACCGGGAGTGGCAGTCGTGGCAATCCTCATCGTCGGACTGGTCCTGGTCGTCGTCGTCCTGGTGGAGGTCGTCAGACTGGTCATCGGCGTCGGCCTGGTCTTGGTCAGACTGCGCGCAAAGGGAGCCAAGGGAGCAGCCGAGGCAGCAAGAAGACGCCGCACAAGTGTCAGACGCCCTGGCTCCTAGGCTTGAATTTTCAATTCAGTTTAGTTTGGTATGAAATTGTCAATCAGCGTGATCATAAATTAAGTTGATTAACAGATTATTATTTTTATTAAACTTCTTATAAACAGTGTTATGGTTTAATCTGTTGCTTTGAATTAATTATTCAGTTTGGTTTTAGAAACCAGTACGTTTGTCAGTCAGCGTGGTTATTTGTTTCGTCATGCTCGGCCAATCTAAGGCACGGCTTGCCGACAAATATTTGCAGGTGGTCGAGGAGAAGCAGGTGGTGTCAGACAAGTTGGGCGTTTCTCTCGCGATGACCCATCTGGCCCAGAGCCGCTGTGCTGGTAACATGTCAGAGCAGCAGTACAACACCCTGGTTGGCGAGTACTTGTCGGGTCAGGCTGGGATCCACAGTCCAAATATAGATTATTATCATAATTTATAATATATTATAGGTCCGCAACGTAAGTTTTTAAGTTTGGTTTATATGAACTAGATTTAAGACTATTGCAGGACTACATAGAC